ACCCAAGAAGGATATTTTGATAGAATATTTTAGTTATTTTTGGTTTGTTATGGATACATGATGTTATATGTGCTCCTCATGAAACCCGTCAAGGACCCAGCTTTGGTGTCATGCAGGACTCTTGAGAAGTCATTACTATCAAGTCCTTCCAATGTTTAATGCCCCACGATTTAGGTTGAAATGTGTTGCCCTTGCATTAATTCATCAATTGTCCTATTATAATCTATTTGCTTTGAGTATATGCTAATTAGTTGAAAGCAACATACCACGGAGGAGGAGGAGACCAGCCGTGATAGCAACTCCACCTACGAGAGCTGGTTGTTCTCTAGCTTTCACCAACTCATCTACATAAATATCATCAAAAGACTAGCAAACCAACTCTCACAAGACAAATTCTTCAAAACTAAAGGAAGGACGATAAATTAACTTTGAGAAAACACAATGGTGAGCACGATTGGTTCTCATGAGTGGTGCGCAAATTAGAAAAATTTAGCCGCACCTTTAACTTTAGTGAAGAAAGCCTCTTCGTAGTGTCTGTACCGAGATCCAATTTGAGGAATAAAGTCCTGCAAAAAAGTAAGTGTTTCTCAATACAGAGTTTCTGCGCACGAGGTGAATGGAGATAGATTGAGGAAAATGTTGATGGATCCATTGTGAGTGTGACCTGGAGGGAACAGAGAAGGGTGGAAGAAGATTGGTGGAGTGAGCGGGCGGAGCGAATGGCTGTGTCGGCCGACTCTTGGACGCTGCGAGGAAGCTCTTCCGATATGTAAGTGCGCCACGCCTTCGTAGTATCTGCCGTCGTCGCCGGAGACGGCGGAGGTGCTTCTTCTTCTCCCATCTTCGTACTTTGATAATCGTCGGCAGATGCTTCAATTTTTGTAAAGTTCCTTTTTGGTCTTCCCTTGCGACCTCGGTTTAAATATTCAGTATAATTTACTATTTAGTGGAATAATAAGTAATAAAAAAATAAATTAAAAATAAATAAATGTATTGATTAATCTATTAAAAAGAAGAATGAAAAATGGGGCAAACCCATAAACTACCACGGGCCGGCCGGACTGCCGGTCTGAATTGGTCGGTAGTCGACAGGCCTTGAACGAGGCCGTAGTTTGATCAAGCCACTTCCGAACCACATAAATAAAAAAATTTTAACCATTGGGTCGGGTTGAAGTCGCCCAGATCCGGCCTTGGAGACGGCCTGTCATTTTTTCAATTTTTTTCTAATTTTTTTGATTAATTTAGGTCAGGCCGGTCCAAACCTGCTAATAATCGTTGGCGACCCGACGGACCAGATTGAATCGGGGCTGTTGGATCTTTTTTACCGTTGGAGATCCAATAGTTTGATTTTACTATATTATTATTTTTTTAATTAAAGAAGGTTTCGGGTTCGAATCTAATTCTGAACTAGCCCGCTTGGAACCGCTAACGGTCAAGATCCCGCTTGTAACGCCCCGATTTTCAAAACGTCATTTTTATATATTTTAACTGGAATCATTATTATAAGTATTATTGTTATTATCATTATATTAAAATAGTTAGAAAATTATCATGATTAGCAAGCCTATCAAGAACTAATCGAGTATAATCCGTGTATTTTAAGTAAACAGAACTCAATTTATTTAAATAAGCATAATTAAATATTTACCTAAAATCATTTATATAAGTTATTATTGAGATTAGCATTATTATTATGATCTATATATATAACTTAACAAAAATAGTAGCAAAAAAATAGGAGAGAATTTAATGCAACTTATAAATAGTAAATTTTATTTTTTTTTTATTTTTATCTTTAAAAAAATCATACAACATCAAATGTTGCATTAAATTTTGGGCTTTAATTTATTTTATTATTTAAAAATTCTAGCTAAGATCTATTAAGTGTGAAATTTTTTATTTTTTTTATAGAAATAATGAAGAACATTAAAATCTCAGTCTCTATATTTATAAAATCTCACTTCAAAAGGTAATAAAAAATTTCAAATATCGGTCTTTATATTTATGCCTTTAAAAAAAATATTGAGTGCTATTCTTTAACTATCATTTTCCAATAGTCATCACAATTTTTTTATATGGAACGTGTGATAATAAACTTGATAATGTTTATCAATTCATTGTTTACCAATCTATTGTTTTTTCTATACTCGGTTTCAAAATGTAAAATAATATTTAAATTATCAGTCTCAATAATTGTGCATTTAAAAAAAATATTTAATGATAATATATTATTTGTTAATACACAATTTTGAAAACTCCATTGTAAATTGTATGTTGATATCCAAATCATTTTATAAATGAAATCGACTTTGTTAAATCTCCACGAAAATATGGTAAAACAAAATGAGACGATCAACTTTGTATAGAAATAAAATAAAATCAATAAACCAATATGAAATTCACAGGAAATTAACATAATGAATAATTTGTATAGTACGAGGATCTAATACTCACGTGGATTCTGAAATTCAAACTTATACTGATGGGTCTACTTCTGGATCTGGAGTAAACCGGTGGTTGTGAGCTCAGATCTGCTTGAACCGTCTTTAAACCGTCGCTAGACCGCAAGAATGCCTGCAAAAACTCAACGCCGGAGGTGTTTCCGGCGTAGAGCCTCCGACGCTCAAGTCAGTATGAGAGTGATGAAGAGAGGCTGCGCAGCAGCTATAGGGGAGAGTGGAATGAATGAGAGTTAGGGTTTAGGGTTACCTCATCTCCTTTATATAGGAGCGAATACTTACGTGAAGTGCCCAAAATACCCAAGTCGGTGGACCTAGAAGGTCCAAAATACCCCTGTCGATTCGTCTCCCCTTTGTTGCTGAGTCATCGTAAGATTCCTTCTTATCTTTGATAGTATGTGGAACTTCAAGTATATTGCAAGTGTGAGGAGTCGTCATCACATCCGGGTTAGTCGAGGTATGCGAGGTCGACTTCGAGATATAGGATGTCGACTCGTGGATATGTGAGGATTCGGAGGCTACGCTTGACTAATCCTTAATGACGAGGTCGTCTTGGTTCAGTCGACTGTCGGAAGTCGACTTAGGGTATCAGGATGCTTGGGTGCTGTCCTCTTGCTGTTACTCTTTCATCGGTGTCGACTAGAGAAAGTCGATGTACTGAAGTCGACTTGAAAGAGTCGACTAGACCAATTTCTACTTCTTCTTAGTTGCTCTTGGCAGAACCGACCCTAGAGAAGTCGATTTGGGAAGGTCGACGGAGCCATGTCGACTGCGGGTAGTTTAAGTGGTTCACTGGCTAAGTAGGGAGCTTCTGGATCGGATTATCCTTATGTGGCTATATCATCTAGTCCCCCCACAAAAATTACTCTAAGTAGTCGACTGCTTAAGAGTAAATTTGGTGGAGTATAATTATGTCGTCGTCCTACCATTCTCGCTCGCACTGGCCTTATTCGCAACTCGTCTCGTCAATCAATCGGGACGCATCTCAAGCTCGTGATTGCTTTTTCGGATAAGTCTGACACACTGACAGACCTATTTCAAATTTCAAATTCTTGGAAACCCTAGAGTAACGCGCGTCATCTCCTTCGCCGCCTCTTCGAATTCCGCGCCTCATCAGGATCGTTGGTTCTCTTGGTGATCCGACGGTCCACGCCCATTATTGCCTTCTATAAATATTCCTTCATTTCTCTGGAAACCACTTTTCGCATTCCTGAACCTTCTTACTCTCTCAAACTTCCTCAAGCATCTCCGGCGGTCTTTGCTCTTCGGCTTCATCGGCACTCCTCTTTTCCGGCGTCTTGCAGTTCAAATCAGTCACTCCATCATGTGTAAGTTCTTCATTTTCCTTTACTTTTCGTGTTTTTGTTGGTTTTTCCTTCAATTTTTTCTGGGTTCTGGGGAATTTCAGAAGTTCATACATGTTCTTCATGAACTTTTTTACGGATTTTGCGTTCGATCTTTCCATGCTCATATTCTGCTAGTATTTGTTGTTTTTGCTAGTCGCTGGTTGCCAACGTGTAGTCGGTTTTCGTCTGTCGCTTAGTTGATTCTTGTCGGCTTAATGGCCTTCTTTTCTTCAACTTTTCTCTCCTCGAGTCGACTAAAGTCGACTTACTAGTTTGTTTAAGTCGAGATATCGATAGCGATTGCCCCCTTTTTGCCTTTTCTCCTTCTGTCGATTATAGCGAGTTGTCCTGATTCGGTCTTGTAGGTTCTTACTTGTGACTTTACTAACTTCGGCTTCCTTCCCCCTTTTTTCTTTTCTTAGCTCCCGACTCGTCTCCTCTTTCTGGCTCCCTCGGTCAACAAATCAACGATTATGTTTGTCAAGCCGACGAGGGTTCTAGCTCTGATTCGGTTGAGGTAACCGGTTATAGGATGGTTTCACCGCCTTCCCATTCTTCTCCTCCTCTCGCCACTGCCTCTTCCGTCGACTGGGCGCTGCACGACCAAGCGCTCTTGGAGGGCGGCTTAGTCGATATCGTGAAAAGCCCTCCTCGAGGGAATCTTCCTCGCTTCGATATCATTCCTCGAGGTATTCCTCTTAGGTTTTTAGATATCCCTGTATATAGAACGAGCCCTGTATCTGTACCAATAATTGCTCCCCTTCTCGACTTTCAAAATGTTGTATCGATAGCTTGTCCCTTAGCTAGGTTAGCTGTTCTAAATCCATTTTGTTATGCCTCTGCAGCCGAAGTCGAGGGCTTCAGAAAGTTCAGTGGGCTTCCCTCGGATTGGGAGTTAATCGCCCCTGGTCCTAATGACGACTTCGCCCATCCTCCCCCCGGCTGTCACACGTTTTTCATCGATCAGGTCGTTTTTGGCCTTCGCTTTCCTATTCAAGACGAGTTAATACTCATAAGCGATTTGTACAATATTCCCATCAATCAATTTTCTCCCAACGCCATTCGTATCATGATAGCTTTTATTGTTATTTCCCGTATAGTGCTCAAGTTCTTTTCTCCCGATTTTTTCTTTTACTGCTATGGCTATCGTCTTTCCAAAGGCGCCCATTGTCTGGGTCGTCGCGCCGGCGTCACTTTCCTCGACGACCTGTCATCGAACGTGACTGAGTGGAAATCGAAGTACGTATTCATTCGTCCTGCTCCCGACATGTATCCTTATGTGAATAAGTGGATTACCTCGAAGGTGAAACAAAATAAACGGCCTCGCTCTGACGAGTTTGCCCGTCTGTTGTCCGAGTTAAATAAGCACACTTATAGTGCTCGTCAATTAATAAAAGACCGTGCATTAGTTAATCATGCTCGAATCGTCTTTTACGAAGACCTTCCTCGTCTCGACGACCCTCGTAAGCCGTCATTGTTCTCTATTTTTTGTGCGACTGTCTTTTGAATTTTGATCATTCGAATCATGGTTACTAAGTATTCTTCATTTACCATCTTTTCTTCTGTTATTTCAGTTAAAGCTCTAAAACGCTTCGAGCTCAAGAAGGGCCAGTCGTCTGGGCAACCGGCTGGCGGTTCTGCCTCTGCTCCTCGACCCTCAGGCGGGTCCGGGTCCGGTGCTGCGGCTGTCGAGACGGCAGCTGCCCAAAAGTCCAGGGTCGAGAACCCTGGAGCCTCCAAACACAAGCCGTCGGGCTCTTCTTCTCGTAAGAGGGCCCAGGACGATCGGGCCGCCATCCTCATCCCCGACGATTTAAAGCGTCGTAAGGTCGACAAGGGGAAGGGGAAGGTGGTCGAGAAGAAAGGCCCCTCCCCTATCACCGTCAAGGACGTGACGGTTAAGATGCCCTCTCGGCTCTGGAATCATCCGGAGCCGTACCACGTGGCCAAGTACTTCAACTCCCTTATTCCTGAAGCCGACAAGGAGCGTGTCGAGGGGAATCTGTACGAGCGCTCCAACTACGCTGTTCAGTGTCTATCTCGGGTATTTTTCCCACCCTTATCGACTTGGTTCTTGTGTTCTTCTCTTTAGACTCAATACATCTTTTCCCT